CATGCATAACTGAGATCCGGGTCCGGAATGGTGAAAATGTGCGATTTCAATGCATTTTCGGCCTTAAAGCGGCCGCCATTTGGCTATCGTTAATGAGATCATGAAACAAATGCACATACATATTTGTGACATGATGTACCTTGTGTGTGTGAAGTTTGAACTCGATCAATCCAAGCACGTCTCAGATACGGATCCAGAACTGAATTCTTTAAAACAAAATGGCCGCCAGTCGGCCATTTCGAACCCGATCCAAAAAAAAAATGACGTGCATCAAGGTCCTATTATGTTTAATGTATGTACCAAATTTGAACAAAATCCGTCCATGCATAACTGAGATCCGGGTCCGGAATGGTGAAAATGTGCGATTTTGATGCATTTTCGGCCTTAAAATGGCCGCTATTCGGCTATCGTTAATCGGATCATGAAAAAAATGCATGTGCATATGTCCCATATAATGTGTGATGTATGAGTGAAGTTTGAACTTAATCGGTCCATGCATGTTCGAGATACAGGTGATCACGGACGCACGAACGGACGCACACAGGGCAAAACATAAGTCCTCGTTTTCGGACTGCGTCCGAACGGGGACTAACAAGCGGCATGCAATTTAGCGAATTGTGGTAAAATGACGTAATAACGAAATGTTGATTTAGCGAATCTCTCTTGTTATTGTTGAACTCATTGAATGAAATGTCATCGGGTAAACAGTAGCGCTACGATGGTGTGAGAATACCCATGCCCAATATCACTAATATTGTATAGAAACTTTATCCCAATTGCTATAACCGGAGTAGTCCTCACTTTGAATATTTTGTGTATTCCATATATTATCACGTACAAACTTCAATTGTTGCTGGTAATAAATGTGTAGATAATTGTATAACATGTTTGTGTATTCCATCATACACACTTTTGACCTACGTAGGTAAAAATGGGACTGGTCTGATTGTTTTGTGGCACTTTTTGAAAGTTGATTGATGGCATGTTATTAATGGTACTAATTAATATGCAGTTTGTACAGTGTTTTAGACAAGTTTCTTGTATGCAAAAATCAGCTATTAAACTCTGTACCAAGTTAGCCCATGTAATTTATAAAAACATTTCATGCAACATTAGTATTCTGATGTATGTTTATCACTAATAAAGTGTCTTTCTGGTATGTTTGGAGAATTATGTTGAACCAAATCCAGCCTGTGATGTCAGGGGTGTCTGGGTTCCCAGGCGTGTTGGATTGCCAAAATTGAGGATACCGGGATACAACTGCATTCTGCACTAGTGTTGAAAGCGAAGGGAAGTCATCGATGACCAAGTGGCTGATGGATGACTAGCTGTACAAATACAGCAACTTTAGTGGGACATTTATTCACATTACCTCTATTCAGAAGCATCAAGAACTATGCAGAACGTGTCAGTAAGCGAGTCATCTGTTGATGGCTCAAACAATGATGGGTGATGCGCAGTGTTAATTATATAAACTACCAGGCTTTGTTTTGACCTTGACCTGACAGCCTTTTGAACATCGCTTAGGTTTGGTGTAGTGTAGTGTAGTGTAGTGTAGTGTAGTGTAGTGTAGTGTAGTGTAGTGTAGTGTAGTGTAGTGTAGTGTAGTGTAGTGTAAAGGTATATACCAGAAATACAGAGGCTTGCCCTGGTCTCCCATCTTAAAACATATTCATTAAAAACAGGGATTGTTCTAACATTGATAGCATTTGATACCCACACATGCCTTCATATTGAACATTCTTGCTCATCTGATTTGCTTGTACTGGCCCATTGTTTTCATTTGAATACCATACTCTGACTGCATTATGCTTGGCCACAGGATACACGCACGCTGCATCACTTTTGAAAATGAGGTTATGTCATAGAATCAGAGGCCGACACTAAATTATTAGATATTCACATGACTTGTCTAGTGATCACCATAACAATGCTTGGAACCCTTAGTCTTTTGATAACCATGAAACAAATGATAACGAGTTAAAACACTAATTTTGCAGAATAGCTTGTGAAACTATAAAATATTACTTTTTATGAAAAACACAAAGAAAACTACCACAAATTCCAAGTGATAGAATCAACATTATCATTGCAACATGCAGACTCAACACATTTGCAGTCCTGTAACAGCAACTAGTCTGTAAGAGCAATAAGTGAATGGCGATAAGTGAAAGACAAATAGAAATGCATTTTCTATACTTCCTTTAATACAGTACAAGTCCAGCATACACAAGTAATGTAAGTACACTTTGCTTTGAAGATAATTCAAACTTACAAGCTATGGACTTACAGCAGGCGCAAAATATTTACATACACCTAACTCCCTCACTCGGTAGGCAATTACCTAAAGACTTTGCAACATCTTCAGGCACTTCCCTAGATACTCAGTTGTTGGAGCGTCGAGGAAAGTGTCTCTCGGAATGTTGCAAAGTCCCTTGGTAATTACCTACCAGGTGCGGGAGTTAGATGTATGTAAATATCTTGCGCTAGCTGTAACACGATCAAAGTTTACACGGTATACCATGATGATACAGTAATAGCTCCATGAAATTCTTGAGCATGAAAATCCAACTACCACTATTCAATATGAAAGTAAATGCAACAACATAGTCCTTTAACCTTGATCCCCGTACTGTAAACTTCAATGCATCAGACAAAATGAGGGAAATATTTCATTCAGTAATTTGTATGGTAAAGCTAGCTAACTTAGACTTCACCCACTTGTCTGTTTTCCATGTCACATGACATTAAATTGCACGCAAAAGTTGCTTCTTGGGGGGAAAAAACACCTACAGAAAGTACACTACTTATGGCTCTTTTTGTTGTCAAATACTCTTCATGCGCTAAATCAGTTATGAAGCAACGCCCCCTCCTACCCCTAATATCAACTAAGAAGTTATACTACCAACACAATTGCATAACTATCATAAACAGAATACCGTGGTTCTATTCTCACACTGATGTAGTGCATACCAGTCACTGTGGCAAGTACATGCTACATAGATCCTCTAACTTGATAAGCCAGAGAAAAAATAACACAAAATTATATCAACGGGGGGAATATTGGAACATGATTTCAAATATTTTCCACATATATCCATACCATATTGTGATTAGTTAATTGATTCACAAGTGATTGACACTGTCAAAAGCTAACAAAAGATAAATAAGTATTTTACAACTGCACATGCAAGTCTCTTTCAAAAACTCTTATACTGAAAATATTGATCTGCATAATTTGTTTTTCCCGTTCTCTCTATATATGAACACCGATAAAGCCGATTGTCATACATGGTATATGGCATCAAACAAACCAAGGCCCATTTAAAAAGTGCCCATCACAATGGTTTACAAGAACATACATGACAATACATCAAATAAAGCTACACGAGTGCAGGGAAGCAAATAGTAAAACCTACTCAAAGTAAATCACGAAATGTACAGCTCCAATCTACATTGCACATTCATGAGAAAAAAATATCGTATACTACAATTCGGTTGAGCAACTAGCAGTACCAGTACATAACACCTATTTAGTACATTACTGGCATTCTAAATTCATGTTTTTTGGGGGAATTTTAACAATGTTCTGCAAGCAATATTTTTCTTGGATAAGAATGAGAGACATAAACTTAGCGAAAGGGAGATTTGACTGTCAGATTTGAGACAGTGTACTAATTTGCCTCTACATCTTTCTGAACTTTGGAGAAGTCAAATTCTTCACCAGTCATTCGTGTCCATACATCCAGGATATCACTACACGTGGTTTCAAAGTGAGTTGTAGCATCGTAAGATGTGGTCACAAATACCTGTTTGGAAAAAACAAAAGTTAATATATATCAACAGATTTTATGATAATGCTAAATTTGTTAGTATGCTGTCCCCGTGTATTGACAGTGTATATGTTATGTACTTTCGTATTTGCTCTGTCAATCATGCCAATGGTTTATAGAAAATGTGTGGGCCATAGTCTCTCAAAATAATTCTTGTATTTAAATAGTTCCTTCTCTGATAAACTACAAGTGTAACAGAAGCGGTTTATGTAAATTAATTATGTAAATTAATCTGTGTGGTAATGGCGTATGCAAATGAGCACCTCACTTTGTATCAAAGTAGCCAGTTATGCATACATGCAGTTTTTATCAGTATATCTGTTGCCACTGCATTGTGTTTGCATGTTCATTTTATTTAGAACTAGCTAGCACATACTACCGACCTATGTACTCAATTAACAACAACCAACTATTTGCCATGGTTATTGTTACCCTAATGTTCAAACTGCATGTCCAAGAGTCCAGAGAAAAATCACTTTGTATGGCCACATTAGGTCATTATGCCTGTAACTAAAATAGGATCACAACAAGATAGTTGACTCCACTGAGATGTCTGGTGCATACATTTCAAACTTCAGTTCACAAAAAATGAAATTCCTGACCACCAAAAAGATTATAGAAGCTTCCAGTTTTCTTGGAAGTGTGTTTCTCCTGTCAAAACATACTTCTGAGCAGTAAAAATGGGATATTGACTAACTATTAAGATTGTGGAAATTTCTTATAACTAATCCAAGAAGGCTTGCTTTGGGGCACTACTGGAAGCCGGTCCGCCAGATTCTAGCAATATAGAAGTGTTGTAAAAAGTTTGCAATCAATATCTTACTATCAACTGGATGTAAGTATGGATTAATACATAATCAATGCAGCAATTAATGTAAATCTGATGTTGCGTAAAAATATCATTGAAGTGAAAGTCACAAGATGATGAAAATGGTGGAGATAATTATATAATGCCATACCTTAGATTTTTTACCATCATCAATAGGTACCAATATGTCAGATACAGACACAAACTTCTGTTTTAGTGGGCCAAGCAAATCAAGACCTGGTTGTAATTCAGCTTCTGGGTTGTCAGTCTCAACAGTGGTGGATACCATTGCGATATAAAAACCTTTAACTGCTACGCAATGAGTGCTAGATACACAACTCACATAGATATCTACAATAGATAACAATGCTGGATATCAGTAACCTTGTTTCGCATTCATGCTTACACTATGAATCCATCCATTGAAGCAAATTAAAAGATGTATCGATTTACAGTTCAGTGGTAACTCGTTATATAATGAAAATCACCAAGTATTTCAATCATATTAATTATTCTTATTTTCACAGATTCAACAAGGGTTATAACTAAATTCAAGAATCAAATAAAGTTTAGAAACAGTTTGTGTGTGCTTAGGGAGTGTAGAAAAGAATTGACTAGCATTAAACGAATCATGTGAACAAGGATCCCTGATGGCTGAAATAGCTCTACCTCAAAACAAAACAGCATGATAATGAGACAGGACTAAATTGAGACAGAATTTAAGTTCTATGGCTGCAGGTAGGGTTAACCTGTTGAGCTAAAAATTACAAACATATTTGCTAAAATTACAGAATTAAAGACATTCTCATGAATATTTTAAACTGATAGAGGTCCACACTGGGTACATATATACAAAGTATCAAAGCAGCTGCATAACAAACATGTTTATTAATTAACTCATGAATAATTAATAGCCAGCCATCGAGTCAGACAAGTCAAAACCCAGAAAATACTATGCTTACCTGATTTCCTACCCACTTGATTTTGTGGAATGATGATTTGACATGAAGAGTTATCATTTGTACGTGGTATAGGATGATTCATGATGCAAATAGCACGTACCACTTGAGCAACTTTCTTGACCTTATCTTTTACATATGTGGGATCACACACAACAGTTTTACACTTGGCAGTTTCACCTCCAGATGTGACGCCACAAACCTCACCATTGTCATCATATACAATAGCTTCAATTGGTTTGTCAAGCATATAGGTGCCACCATATATAGCTGATAGCCTGTAAATAGATATAAATTTCTATCAACATGTGTGGGTAAAATACAATTGTTTACTTATGCGATGACAAATCATCTTCACATACTAACCTTGCAAAGCCTTGTGGAAGTTCTCCCAATCCATACAGTGGGTACAAATATGGAGATTTGCCATAACGTGACAGAGATGAACTGTACAGTTTAATTCGCTCTATTGTGTCTAAAACATTTTCTTGTTTGTAGCTACAAAAAACAAATTATTCCAAGATTATTTATTTATTTATTTATTTTGGATTAGTTGCTGGCAGATTTACAGAACACTAACTAGAGACAAACTATATTTTGAAATAATAGCAACTTTAACTGGTATAATGCTGCTTACCTGTCATCTCTATGCAGTGCCAGGGCATGACCAGTGAAATCTGCAGTATTATCATCCAAGCCATGTTTGTGGTACAAATCTTGCGATGTGGCTGTCTTTGGGTCAATACCATGATAAGTTTTGGGATCATTAATATCAAAATCATTAACATAAATCAAAAATTTGCGGTATCGACGCTTTTCAAAGATTCCCATTAAGCCTAGAAGGAATAGTAGTAGAATTGTATGAACATGTGTTATTCAGTGAGCTTTCAGCTACTCAGTGAAGCACATGTGCATTTAAAATATCTGGATTTTCAGAATTAAAGGCAGAATAATTTGTGTTGCTACTTGTTCATAGTCACAAATCAAAGAAAGCTTAGAAAACAAGTCATTGAAAATGACACAGTCCACGTAAAAGTTCTCTTTGTGCTCGTCATATTAAAGCGGAGGGGTTGTCGCAAGCGTGTCCTTAAAACTTGTGTCCCAAGTGGCGTATACAACAGATTGTTTATTTACATCAAAACATGTGTTACGTGTAGTAATATGGCCAAAAATAAAAACAGCTGTTATTTGGCCATCTTTGATCTGATTATGAAACAAACTGACATGTATGATGTATGTGCCAAATATGAATGAAAATTGGTACATAAATTGTGAAAAAGGCCAAAAAGTCAGATGGCTGTCAATCGGCCATCCTTGATCAGATTTTGAAACATGTATAATCTAAACTGACAAAGCATATCCGAAATACGACATTTTCAAAACACAAGATGGCTGCCAGTCGGCCATTTTGAATCGAATCGCTAAACCACTGCATGTGCATATGTCCCACATAAAGTACTAGGTACATGCAAAGAATGAACGAAATCGGTCCAAAGGATTCTGAGATACAAGTCTGTGGACGGACGCACAGATGCATGGTCGGAAGGAGATTGAATTATAAGTCCCCGTTTTCGGACTTCGTCCAAACAGGGACTAAAAAGACACATGGAAACGTATTAAAATTGATTCAAAATTGAAGATTAGCCTTTCAAAACAAAGAGCTTAGCAACTAATATTTGTCTGCTATTTGAGATGCACAAGGTGAATGAAAACTATGTACTCCACATTATCAAAATTACATGTGATTTTCAGTCTAATTATTCCCAGAGCACCTCTACCACAAATTCAATTTAAATGTGATTTTTTTGAGATATTAGAAACATACTAATAATAATTAGAATAATCAATACGCATGTGTTCTCCCCAGGCCAAAACAGCGTCAAGGGCCACGACGCGATCGGATTTGCACGCGACGCTATGTGTTTCCTCCGCGATGCTATTACTTATCCCGTGTCTCTCACAGACTGTAAAGTTTCCTGGCTAACTAGTTAAATCTACAAATGCATTGTATTAACGCCAATTTCCCGGGATAATCCCCTGTTGTTTCTCATTGGTTGGATATCGTTTTAAAAAAACAAAGCAGTTCTATAAAGACAAAGCTGTAAGCCCCGGTGTCAAATGCTCTTTTGCCAAACGTATATTCATATGCAAATGATATAGTCACACTTGGGGTCAAAAGCCACATGTTTCCGATGTGTACGAAACATATTTTCATTATTATTTTTAGAAATGTAGTCGTACTATTATTCTAAGTTTTGATTTTTGTCAGTATTTTTGATATTTGTTTTTTGAGATCAAAATGTGAAAAAATATATATTTATGATGTAAACAATTTTGACCTCGTGATTGTGAATCCAAGATGGAGTCACCCACGTAAGATCCAGCGAGCCTGAACTTCCCACTCGGATTGCATATCGTGCTCAGATTCGGATAAATTAAGTGAAGCATAATTGAAAATAATATATTTATCAAGAAATCAGGAATTCTAATCAAGTGGAAATTGGAGTGACACTTGTGTTATTTCTTGGAAGAAAAGCCTCAATTTTACATGGTATAACAATGGTGACAATTGGTAATTCAGATCTCCGTTGTCTCAAATTGTTCACAATTGTGTTGAACAGACAACATCGATGATTAAAACAAGCAGCCTATCGGCAGAGATAGCTCCGCTGTTAGCAATGCACATTTCAATTAAAGAACTGAAGACATCATTAGAAAATGAACAATATGTAAAGTATCAAAGCAATCGGACTTGCAGTTTTTAACAAGAAGTCGAAAATATCACTTTCTACCAAAAATAACCAAAATATTCACCAAAATTAGAGAATTGAAGATATCATCACGAAATGAGCAAATCTAAGAAAGGTCTACATGTAGTATCTATATATGTAATATCAAAGCAATTGCACTTGCGGTTTTTAACAAGAAGTCGAAAATATCACTTTTTACCAAAAATGACAAAAATATTCACCAAAATGAGAGAATTGAAGATATCAACATGAAATGAACAAACCTAAGAGAGGTCTACCCAAGGTACATATACACCAAGTATCAAAGCAGAGGTCAAAGGTTACTGGCATGTAAGCAAGATCTTTGACTGGCCTGCTCCGTGGGCTCCGGTGAAGTTTTACAGGTAATAAGTACAGGACAATTAAGCGAATCACTTTATCTGGGATGTAAAGTTCTGGTCGCCGGATGGAAGTGAGTTTTTGTTGAAATTATGCCGCCGAAGACCGTGAAAAGCAAGGTTTCCAAAACGAAACAACAAAATGTCTTACAGGGTTTTGCGACCCAAACATCACGTGACCAAGTTTCGGGAAAAATCGGAACACGAGAGCAAGGTGAAAGCGATGGTGAATCTCCCAATATGCATGACGAGGTCG